ACCAATAGAAAAAAAAACGATGGAAAATGGCAGCTGTGACAATCCGCAAAGTAACAGCTGTGACAAGCTGGGAAGTCATAACCGTGACGATCTGGAAAGCGGTAACCGTTATGATCCAATCGGTGACAGCCATATCCATCTGGAAAGAGGCAGTCATAATGACCCAGGAAGAGCGAGCCGTGAGCATTTGAAGTGACAGCTGCATCAGTCTGGAAAGTGGAAGGCATGATGGAGACCTGTGCCTCTCCTGCCTCTCCTTTCCTTGAGAAAGATACCAAAGAGCCCAGTTGTATATTTAAAGAGGTAGTTTGATGCCTCACTTTTGGGCTCATGACAGGCTGATGAAGGAGAAAGCAAATCCAAGGACTGCATCTCAACTTAGACTTCAACGTACCATAATTTATTATATATTAATACTGCTGTACACTGTAATCATGGATATACCAGGTTCTGATCTCATAATTACATGAGGGCAAGGAATCATCTACCTTCTCACTGTCTTCATGTCCATGATAGGCTGTGGTCTGACCTGGTGGAGAGTTCCAGTGTCTCTAGTTCTTGGTTGTTCTAACTCCACAATCTGTCCTTTCAGAGTCAGTAAGGTATAGCTGCGAGATATCATGACAAGGTTGCTCTTCTCGATATAAAGTTTGGATGTTCCTTACCAATGTGGTTTTTTTTTAGAGATGAATGTTGGGATTCTGTGATGATGAATTGTGACTATTCCCTTTCCAAGATGGCCATAGAATTTCCCAAAGATCTGTGGGTAAATGCTTTCTCAAAATGGCTTCACTCAATTAGATTCAATGGTTTTTATTTTAATTGTATCAAAGATGACTGCTGTGTCATAATTTATGCTAAATTTTTCTGTTAGTTATTTTTGCAAAGAATTAAATGCCACATCATCATGTCTGTGTTCTTTTTCTGTTTCTGATTTTTTTCATACTTTAATTAATAAAATTGTTAAAAGTGCTTATTTGTTGAGTAAAACTTGAATTTAAAAATTATCACTGTTAGAGCACTAATACTTCAAATTTTATTCCTGATTTTGTTTTTTTCTTGGCAATCAGTTTTCTTTAAGCTTTCACTTGAAGAATTATATTAATTCATTGTTAATGTTTGTGTCGATTAAATAGTTCAGAATGTTGTTAAGTCACTGTTAGAAGTCTTAATTACATTCCAGACCCTAACTTTTCAGGTGGAAATTAAATTTTAAAACTCTCTGCTCAAAGAATCAGCTCTTGAATGTCAAGTAAATAGCCTCTTTTCTCACTTTTTTAAAAAATTAGGTTAACATCCCCTATTACTGGCTGCAATGGGCTTTTGTTTTTAGAATTATGGCCGCACTAGAGGAATTTGTTTGAAGATGCTCCTGTCCCAGCTCTGTGTCTTTTCTGGGTGTTGCCTGCTCTTGAAATTGCATTGACACTTCTTGAAAAAAATGTGCCTTTTTTCTTCAGTTCTTCTCTTCTTCAGATGATCTCAGGTTAGTTTCTCAATCTTCACTGCTGCCTGGATTTTCTAGATAGTGAATCCTGTAGCTGCCACTGTGTTTTATCTGATGCCAGACTATGTTTTCCCCAAGACTGATTGGGTAAAAGTAAAGCCAAGGAAAGTCTTCAGGCTTAAACTTCAAGGTAATACAATCATTAAACATTAATACAAAATATTGTTGTAGATGGTAATCATAGATTTACCAGGTTCTGATTTATAGAAATCATATTTTTTGCACTTGGTAAAGAGTAATCTATCTTCTTTGTGTGTTCATGTCCATGTTATAGTCTGCTCTGGTACAGCGATCTTGGATGTTCTATTTCCATCCAATCTATCCATTTGATACTCAGCGATGTGCACAGGGTTGCTCCAGGGTGCTTATACCCTGACACAATAAAGAATGAAAAATTGTGTGAGAGAGGACACTCTGAACTATGTGATAATTTCGCTGGAGAAACATTTTGACGGAAAATGGGAACATTTCATGCTATCTTTGCATTTGTGAGTAAAACCAGAGCAGGGAGGAAAAAATCCAAGAAGGAACTCGGGAGATACCAGTATAGTGAGAATGTGAAGCTCATTTACCACAAGGAGTAGTTGAGGTGAGTAGCACAAGTGCATTTAAGGGTAAGCTAAATAAAAGTACATGTGAGAAAAAAACAGAAAAATATGTTGATCGGGTTAAATGAAGAAGGGGTAAGGGTCACCAGACCTGAAACGTTAACTCTGTTTTTTCGTTCACAGACGCTGCCAGACATGCTGAGTTTTTCCAGCAACTTGGTTTTTGTTACTGATTCACAGCATCCACAGTTCTTTCAGTTTTTATTTAGGGGTAAGAGGAGTTTTGTGGAGAGCACAAACATCAAAACACCAACATTTGTTAGGATTGTTTCTGTCTTTGCACCAGTAACAGCAAACATCTGCACTTGTACTGGGACAATGCTCCAGGGAACAGGACTAATCGCAAGTGTTTTCTGTTATCTGTGCGAGGTTAATTGGAATATTAGATTAATACAATTAAACATGCAATATATAAAAGAACAGACTTTTCTTATTGTCTCTTAAGCAGGTGTGTTTCTTCTTGCATCCAGAATGTGCGGGCAAAGTTGTTTCTATTTCAGATTAAAACACATTAATGTATGTTTTCAGCTACAAAACAGTTGGCAGAAGTTAGGAGCAAAACCAAGCATTCAAAGGAGGAAGGAGGGCTTTCTGAACCCTGAGGTAATCAATCAGATAGATAGGACTTGGATTTATGAAATGGAATATAAACTCACGAGGCTTTTGGATTACTACGAAGTAATGATATCACACTTTAAAATATTTAATCATTCAAATTATTCATCTCACTTAGTACAGGTTCCAGCACAAAGAAACACATTTCCTGACATGGAGAAATGTGGGTCTTTCTAAAAATAATACACTGCGCTGAAATGTTTAAAAGATAAAACCTATTGTCAGCAAAATGGAGCCCGTCAGATAACTCCATGATAAGATGATCTCCGGGACATGACACAGACTCAGAATATATTGTAGGGAATTGAAATGCAAGGACCAAACTGAACACTAAACTAAAAACAATAATGTTAGGCAGGACACCATTTCTTTTCATTGTGACAAGTTAATTTTCACTGAATTAGATGTAATTGATATCCTTTGGCTTTGTTTGGCTGTTTTTGCAAGACATGAAATTGAATATATTTATTTAAGCTGACTGTTTGCTTTGTAAATGTGCCAGTCCAGTTCAGGAACAGTAATAAGTGTTCCTTCAACATTCGAAAGCAGTATTTGCTCCTTCAGTGATGGTATTATTTACTTTTTTTCTGTCAAATATATCAATTGATAGAAGTATCAAAGAAGTGACATGCAGAATTTTTGCCAAAGAGTTTTTGAACAACATTATTTGGAGTCTTTCATACTGAGATTTCAGAGAAAGACAGGAGATATTCATATTTTTAAAGTTTTGCACCACCTTGAGAAGGACACATTGCTGAATAATTTTTTGACACATTCAGCTGTATCATATTTACATAATTTATTCAGGATTGGAAACTGGGACTAATTTTCCTCTTCACTCAAACCTCAGAACTGCCTCAGTTAACGTGTCAAAAGTATTACATTTAAATCATTTATCTCAGTTCTTGTTAAAATTTCTGTGACTGATTAACACTCTGGATATATTTTTTTAAATTGGCACTTGGGAAGATTTATTCAGTAAGGACATTGTGATTAGCTGCATACTGTCATAATTACGGCCATACAATGTTTACACTGACAGAAAGTAAGAAAATGGAAAATTAAAATTACATTAAAATCTACTAGATTGCGTGTCTGGCAGTAAATTCAGAACAATTCACTATCAATTGAAATATAGTGGTGTGACTATAAAGATGATATTTAGACCAAAACCAAAGTTGCTGGAAAAGCTCAGCAGGTCTGGCAGCA